TACATGGGTGTAGCTGGTAGTTGGGATATAACAACCCCATGGTGCAGATGAGCATGGGATTATTAGTGCTTCCTCTTTCTCCTAGAAGTCCTCCTGACTTGGGGCCATTTCTTCCCAAGGTCACTCACACTCTCTTCCTTCTCATCCCCAGGTAAAGAATATGATTCATCCCTGCTTCCTGAAAGAATTACGTTCCTCCAAACCATATATAAATATCTTGGACCTAACAAAAAAGCTGGAGCAGCAGGAAGGACTCACCACTGACCAGGTAGAAAGCAGAAGGAAGGTCTCTCAGTAGAAGGTAAAGAAGAGAGACAGAGATACCTGATAAATAAGTGTAGGGACACCAGGTACAACAGAGGTTGGGGAGAAAGAAAATGTAGACAAGGAGAAAGGGGCACCAAGTAGAAAAAAAAAGGTAGAGACACCAGGTTTACCTGGACTTGGGAACAGACACCAAGGCACAAAGCAATACAGGGAAGCCTAGGAGACAAAGGGTCACAAGTAAACAGAAAAGGGAGTGACCAGAGTTGGAGAGGGAAGCAAGGGATAGCAGGTAGATGAGGAAGGCACAGGACTTTACTCATGTGGCTCATGGGACTTTGTTTATCCTTATCCTGTCTATGATGGCTCCCTTAGTGAGTCTGTTCCAGGTCACAGGATGTAGGACGAAAAATAAAGGAAGAAGACATGAGAGCTAGGAAAACGTTCAGAATACCAAGCAGAATGGAAGCCCAGGAGGGTGGCCACCAGACACTCAGTGTGTTTCTATGAGACCAAGATGAGTGACAGCTCCACTTCCCACCTCCCACTTAAATATGATTGTCCTGATCCCTGTGGCCCATTTCATGCATGAAGAAGAGTTGGCCAGTGCTCATGTTCTCCTTCATCTTGTGAAGAAACACCTTTTCAGATGCCTCAAGTTCATGGTATGTCTGAACAAGACACAAGAGCTTCCGAGGCAGCTGCCACACAAAGTGCAGAGAAGCGGAAACATTACACTGATCAAGGTGCCAGCATGGAAGCCTGGTCCACAGAGGTGGCTTCCCAGGTCATGATGAAGAGTATGGCCACCAAGCCAGGGTTGCTGGGTTCAAAGGACACTGGTATCCTCCAAGGCTGTAACAGGTCTTCCTCATTGGGGACCATCCACTCCAACCACCCTCCCCAGAACCGCAGATCCTACTCCTTAAACCTGGGAAATAAAGGCATAGTGGGTCCCAGAAAAGCCACTTCTTCTGGGGGGCAACATAAGACAGCCAATGGCTGCAGTGTGGACGATGACCTCCAAAGCCTGCATTTCCTTCTTAGCTCCCAGCACCACCTGTCGCCCTGGGAACTGTCCCAGAGCCAGGCCCCTCAAATAGAAACCCTGTGCTCAGGAGATCAAGTGCTCAAGGCCCCACCTCCCCAGAGAGGACGCCTCAGTTCCCACCCTCCTCCAGGTGCCATGTCCATGAAGAGCACTCTCATTGGATGCTCTTGCTTCATGGCAAAAAATGCGATGCACAGGGCCTCCTCTCCAGGTCATTGGAGGGCAAAATACGGATCTGGAGCTGGCACAAACTTCACAGCCTCAGAAGAGGAAGTGCACATCATCAGGCAACCAAAAGAAGAAGAAAAGGAACTGAGGACAGTCGTGGTGGCCGATGGCCTCTGGGATGGCTGCCTCTCAGGCAAGATCTCACCTTTGCTTCATTCTGTGCTGGAAGGGCCAAAGGTTCTTCCTCACATAGGAAAGTTACTGTGGGTTCTCAGAAAAATGAAGGGAGTGGGAGGGTATAGGGAATGTAGAAAGAGAGCAGCGAGAGGGTACTGAGAGGGAAGGGTAACAATATTCAAGCCTGGGTGAGAAGCTGTACCTTGTTTGACTGTCACTGGGAATAAAGGCAGTTTGGTAGGAAAAAAATCTTCTCTGGCTGCTGCCTTTTGCCATGTTGTCTGTACACGTCCATGCAGTGAGAACTGAGAGCGATAACTGGGGTTGCCAGGACCCAGGGCACACAAGCGTTCATCTATTGGGTCTTGTTTCCAGATTTAGACAGGTCCTCCCCCTAATCCTGGGAAAAAACAGACAAGATTCCAAAACCCAACACATCACCCCATAGAAAAAGCCTCTCTTGGTTTAGGGGATCTTCTTTGTGTATTCCTCTATGATCTGTGCCTCTTAAACATCTCCCCTACCAATCATCTGAGGGCCTGCTATGAAAAGAAATCACAAAGGGGAAAAGCATATCTCCCTTGGTATCCACAGCTCTGAGGTCTGAGGACTAATTAGTGGCTAGTTAGTGTTACTAGTTCTGAGATGGAATGTCAGGGACCCTCAGCTCCTAGTGATAGAAACTCCCATGTTGCCTTCTTGGGATCAATAGCCAGCTGCTTCCAACAGTTTCCTGGATATCATCTGACAGCTGCACCTAGAAGCTCCTGAAACTCTCCACTGCTCCAGGTCACTCTCTGTGCTTGCTGCCTTTAGGCTGACCTGCCAGGTGTGCCAGTATTTGGTGTAACCAACTTGACCTGCTCTAGTTGAGATGAAAGTCATGAATATACAACTCTACCATCTACTTGATTAGGAAAAGTGGTATAGGAACTATTTGCATAAGAAGATGGGGAAGTAATCTTATTGGAATTTAAAAGGTGAACTCAGGAATGTACAGTATCCGTCTAAGATACCCACAGTATTTCTGCTTAGGCATGGTTAGGGCAAGGGCTCACTGCACTCCACACTAAGTACCATTGAAGGGTCCCAAAGAGTTGAGTCATGTTGAGCTACTGCAGATTGGAGTCATCTGAGGAGGACCTGGTATGGAAGTAAAAGTTTCTTAGTTACTGTGAGTCATTTGTGGCAGCTATGGCCATAACAGACAAGGGCATGATTTTTTATCAAGTACCTCTTGAGAACGTTGGGCCCTCCTGTCTCATTTGGATGGAGAGCTGATTTTGAGCCTTCAAGCTCCTGTACAATTAAATAAATTCTAGAAATAAGCCTGGAAACATTTTTTTTTTCTTAGACAGCTTATTTTTCCTCTCCTGAATGATGATGAACAATATTATTCGACTGATCCCCAGCATGGCTTTGGTCTTCCTGCATAGGTGTCATGATGAGAGGACAAGGCCTGCCTTCACACCTCTCCCACCACTCTACAGTTCTGACTGGGAACTCACTAGTGACCCAACAGGCTGCAGTTCCTGACTGCATCCCAAGACAGACCCGCCCCCCACTGACACAGTGCTCTGTCCCTCCCATACATAGTATTGGCCCCATCCCAACGCCAGCCTGACCTATACTGAGTGTGGCTGGCCCAAATATAATCAAGTTCTCCTACAAATCAATGAGGAAAAAAGAAGGCTACACACTACATGGTTTTCCAATCAACAAAATGTGGAAGTTTACAAAGAAGAATAATTAAATTGCAAGGAGGACAAAGTTTAGTGCCATTTGTGGGATAAAGAACTGGGATGAGTTCAGATGTGCACAAAAGTGATTGGAAGTGAAGTTGTTTGTGCTCTGTCATGTGTAATCAAACTCCATTATTCTTCATAGGACCCAGGTTCCATGGCCATCAAAGTCAGGGCACAATTTTTTTATCAAGTACCTATTGACAACTTTGAGCCCTCCTGTCTCAGTAGGATAAAGACTGCTTTTGAGCCTTCAGGCCCCTCTGCCATTAATCAGTTTTCTAGAAGTAGCCTGGAAGCAGAATTTTTGAAGACAGCTTCCTTCTCTTCTAATGAGTGATGCTGAACAGTGAGGATGGATGGAACCCCAGCATGGCCATGGTCTTCCCGAGTAGGTGGCCTGATGAGAGGACCAGCCCTAACTTCTAGGGGAAGAAGTCGCAGCATGCTAGGGAGTCATCAACTGATACCACCAAGACCCACTCCCTCCATTAATGAAAAGCTGTGCTTTCTGACAATGATCACAGGGGCGGGGCCCTTGTGGGGGCCCCCTTTGGTAGCTGCATCCTTATTGAAACTCAGTTTAAGGACCTCCTCCTGATCTCTGTGCACTGGCCAGCACTGATCAGAGTCTCCTCTTTCCTGTGATCTTGCCCAGGCTGTGGCATGATAGCCTAACATCTGAGGCATTGTCTGCTAACATCTTACTCTTTTTGCACCAGGTCACTACAAAATAACTTTAGGAAGACATTCACATAACTCACGTCACCCATCAAATATTAGAATTCTAAAGTTTTCATAGACTTTGCCACCATATCAGTGATAAACTTTTCTTTCATTATAATAAAATATAGAATACTTCTGTCAGCTCAAAAAAAAAAAATCCCTTACCTTTTAGCTATCAACCCCATTCCCCCATACATTTTCCCACCACTTTTCAAATATCTCTGTGCCTATCAACTCTTCCCATCATTTATTTGATATGTGTAAGTGTGGCCTTGGGTGTTCAGTTTTAGCACTGCATCTCCCATGGTTCAAGAATTAAGAAAGATAGACATTCTTTCTATTTTACTAGAACATTCTTAACTAAAATTGTCATTTCTCATGCAGCTCGGTGGGTGGGACAAATAAAATCTCTACTAGTACAGTTTAGGTCCACTGCCTTGATTCATTTCAAGTTGAGAACATTTCTGCAACCATGGCTTTTGCACCTCCGGCCAAAATATTCAAGTTCTAGTTTACTTGTTGCCATGTCAAGAATTCTCTTGGGAAAACCCTGTTTACAGATACACTGAGGTGCCAGAATCTGTGTCCTCACTGGTGTTTGTGGTTAGAAGTGCTGTAAGAAGTACTCACATTGTGGGCAGGATGTGCTCCTGATGACCTTCAGGATTCCTCAGGCTCTAGCTAAGGAGACATTTCACTCAGGTGTTTTTGTTTAGTTGTGCAAGTCCAGGAAAGAAACAGAGTGTTTCCAAAGAAATTCAGCAAAAGTAATGCTGAGGAGGTAATGGGGCCATAAATTATGAACTTGTCACCTCCACATAGACCTTTGGAGTGCATGGAACTTTCTTGGAGAAGTGAGGTCTCCTTCCTGTTGGTGAGAATGCTGAGAGGAATGGTGCCACTCGGCAGAGTCAGTTACCATCGAGATGCCTTGGACGTTGATCCATTGTCAGCAAAGGATGCCAAGGGGCCTCTAGGTCAGGGAAAGCTGAGGTGTCAATATAGACCATGTTCCAGGAATCTTTGATTACTGGGATCAAGATTTCTCTGAGTGTAACTTTTGATTGGAAGAAGGAAGCCTAAATTTCACTCAGAGAAAGATGCAAACCACAAGATTTACCTGTCCATAAGACCCTGAGCTGTTGCCATTCCTCCTCAGATGCCCTATGACAAAGGCTTGGGAGTCTTACTCCTATTGCCACTTCCCCTTAATTTGTTCCACAGTATCTTGGATGGTGTGACCAGGCAGAATCTGGTTCCCCTATGTCTACCTTCAGAGAACTGCCCTGTCTTCCCTCTGCTACTGTGCCAACACACCAGCCATTTTGGGTGCTGTCCATGTTGTCTCTTGTGACTACAACAATCTCCCTGGGTAACCCACTGGTGCAGTGTGCTTACCCTGAAATATCAATGGTAGCAGGAGTGGTGTCCCTGCTGTGTGTGTGTCTGGGCAATTCAACTTTGGTCAACCTGGGCCAGATGGAGGCCAGAAGAGCCACATTCAGAAGGTTGCCCTCACTGAGGTACCTCTCACCTGGAGGGCTCCACGGGTCTTCTAAGGTGGTGTGGAACATTCTGCTGCATTCCTCCCACTAGCTTCTGACTGGAGGACCACTGTGCCTGCCTCAGCCAGTGGGGGAATGGGCAGCTGGGTCTTCACCCTCCAGCACCACCACCATTTGCCCAACGGCCCCGATCATCTTCCCAATGAATAGCCAACAATGGCCACAGGTAGTGTTTTGGGATTGTGCACTGCCCACCTTCCAGATAACTGCAGTGGGTGACAGAGCATCTACAAAAACTTCTGGCATTGGTAGTGCTTTAAGATCCTGATCCACCTGCACCTTCCTTAAACTCCAGATGTGGAAGCACTTTCTTGCTTCCTCATGTGAGTGTTCTCCCCAGGGACCCAGAACTCCTCCTTGAGCTCTGAAAGGAGAAAAAGTATGGCATGGAGAAAGGAGGCTAGGATGTATGGGAACTGGAAGGAACATCCTGTGGGTGTAAGGACATGCTGAGAGACCTACATTCCCAGCCATGTTCATCTCACACCAGGAGAGGAAATGTGCCTTATTTGAGGTGCCCATCACAGCCCTGTGAGTATAGGAACCTTTGTTCTCAAAGAGCATTACCATCACATGGAGGACCCATGGTCAGAGAAGGATCTTGGGGATAATGTAAGCCAGGATTTGGAATTGACTCTCTGATGCCATATAATTGTCCCTCACTAAGTATTTTCACCTTCTAGCATAAACCTGATTGTTCATGACAGGCAACATCACAACTAGTGTCAGGGAGAGGGGTGAAGACACCAGTACAGGTCTCTCTGGACACCCAACAATATTCTTCTGGGAATTTCTGTTTAGGATATTTAGGTGGTGCAGAATTTATGAGTGAGTACTCATTTCATTTGGATCCTCTGTGGAGATATACATCATTGTATCAGGTTTTAACCCTGATCCCAGAGCACTCTGTTCTCTGTCTCACTCAACTCAGGCTGCCATATGCTCTGCTACAGAATGGGCAGCTGAAACCACAGGAATTTGTTTCTCATAGTTCTGAAGTTGGGAAGTCCCAGAAAGATGGTGCCAGATTTAATGTCCAGTGAGTACTTCCCTCCAGGCTTGAGACAATGGCTGCCTTGCCTGTGACCTCCTATGGCTAAGAGAGTTTTAGAATCCCTTCCTTTTTCTAGAAGGACACTACTACTATCATGGGAACTCCACCCTCCTGACCTCATTAAAATCCTAAGAACCACTGAAGCCACTATCTCCAAATACCATCACATGGGAGGTTAGGGCAGTCATGTATTCCCGAGAAAAACATTCATGTCATAATACACAACAACATCAAGAACTCAAGAAAAATAAGATTTCATTAAGTACTTGATATTCTCTCTAATATATGAGAGCATGTCCTGGATTCAGGGATCCCACATGGGGTGGTCAAAGTGACTGGTCAGAAGAGGCAAAGGCAAGGCATGTATTGGGTCAGATCAACTGGCAATGAAGTGTGGTTGTGGATTGTGACTGATCCTGATGAATCCCAATCCAGTGCTTTGTCCCCTATCTGGACTGGAGCCCACCATGACTCTGGAGAAGAGATTGTGGAGGGGTCTTCAGGAATGTCAATGCATACCTTTAACCACATGATCTATGAGATGGCAGAAAAGTGTGTCAGACACCTGGGTCTAGGCATAAGTGCTAGGGAACATGGGTTGCACAGCTGGCTCTGTTGGAGCTTTTCATCCAGCCAGGAAGGGCATCTTCTACCACAGGGAAAACCATTGAACATTTTCCTCTCCAAGCATTTATTCTCTCTTCCTAGAGGGCTGGACACTCTCTAATAGTCCCAGAAGCCAGGGTGTGGGGCAGTAACCAGCCAAGCTCTGGGGGTGTCCATCATCAGTGAGGTCTGTTCACAGGGTACAAGTTTCACTAGCTTGATGTTGGCCAACCACCTGGAAAATAAACCATCTTACAGTATATGGATCACCCATGCTCATGAAAGTTGCCACAATAACACCCTGATGTTTCAGAAAATATTTAGAAGTTGAAAAACATTATTAGGGAAAGCCAATGTCTCAGATGCCCTGAGCACACACCTCTGGCCTTGTAGTTCATGTAATTCTCACCATTCACACAAACAAATGAAATACAGTTTTTTTTGGAAGATGGGCTGCGCTGGGAAGCCAGGTATTCCAATAATTTCAGCATAGTTTCTGCTTTCTCATGACTTCTCCTGATCCATTCATAGATAGAGAATTCTCTTACATAAATAATATCTTTGACCAGATGCTGATGCTTGGTTTTTCTGTGTGGTTCTGGGCAGGGACATGAGAAGCCTGGAATAAGTGTGGGAGGATACATAAAGGAATATGCCTGTTCACTAAGGCCCACATGGTTCTCCTCAGGTGCTAAGTGATGTCAGGTGCACCCAGAAATGTTTCTGCATTGGGAATTGATCCTTCCTGGGACCCACCCAGCCCATGGCCTGAGCACTGCTCGCTCCCATCCCTGCTATCAGCTCCTCATGGCTATGAAGCTACAGCTTGAGTTTTCCAAAAAGAAATCCTTTTTAAAAA